ACCGTATGACGTTCGTATGGTAATCGTAGGTCTTTCTTAGGGTCGCCGTATGGTTGTCGCAAGCGGAAGCTCGCCCGCCCAGAAAACCCAACCACGTTCTGTTCCTCCCTTCCAGCAGAGAAATTGGGCAAACAGTGTAAGGTCAACCCTAGCAGTCGTAGTAGTAGTAGTAGTAATAATAGTAGTAGTAGCCGTAGTACTAGTAGTAGTAGTAATCATACTAGTAGTAGTAGTAGTTGTAGTAGTAGTAGTAGTAGTAGTAGTAGTAGTAGTAGTAGTAGTAGTAGTAGTAGTAGTCGTAGTAGTAGTAGCAGAAGTAGTAGTAGTAGTAGTAGTAGTAGTAGTAGTAGTAGTAGTAGTAGTAGTAGTAGTAGTAGTAGTAGGCAGTATTAGCAGTAGTAGTAATTTTACTTGTAGTTGTACTTGTAGTCGCAGTCGTAGCCGTAGCAGCAGCCGAGTAGTAGTCGTAGTAGTAGTAGTAGTAGTAGTAGTAGTAGTAGTAGTAGTAGTAGTAGTAGTAGTAGTAGTAGTAGTAGTAGTAGTAGTAGTAGTAGTAGTAGTAGTAGTAGTAGTAGTAGTAGTAGTAGTAGTAGTAGTAGTAGTAGTAGTGGTGGTAGTGGTAGTAGGATTGGTAGTAGTAGTAGTAGTAGCAGCAGTAGCAGTAGCAGTAGTAGTAGTAGTAGTAGTAGTAGTAGTAGTAGCCTGGCTTATGGAGTGGGCGGTTTGGGTTTGGGTTCGGATTGGCGGCTTCCCTCGTGGAGTTCCATTAGAGGCCTTCTCATAACAAGTCAAGCGACATTTCAATAGGAAGGCCTCCGGATACCTGTATAGGAACGCAAGAATAATTTAAGCGGATTTTAACAAGAGTTCCAAAATGAAGGCCTCTCGTAGGTGAAGTTTGAAATACACGAAACCCATAAGAGTCTTTCATGCAGCTAAATTAAATGCACAACCAACGTACTGACCGTACTGGGCAATCCTGTTGGATTCTTAGAAGATTCCGTTTGGGTTCCGATTGATCTTTTTAAAAAATGTTTTCACATGCTTGTTGAATGATACCCGATTGAATTCCCAGGAGGTTCTCCTTCTATTGGAATGTCTGTGGAATTTTATCCATGTCCTATTGAATTCCAACTGGATGCCAATGAGGCCTTTCGATTGGAATTTCTGATGAACTCCTCTTGGAAGTTCTGCCCTGCTAAGCTCTGGTAAGCCTTGGTAAGCCCCGGCTCAGCCCTGCTAAGCCCTGGTAGGCCTTGGTCGGCCTTGCTGGGCCCTGGCAAACCCTGCTAAACCTTACTGCAACTTGGGTTTCAATGGGGCCCCTTTTGGACGCCAAGAAGAATCATGTTGGAGTCGAATTGGAAACCGATTGGGACCCCATAAAACAAAAAAACGTTTTCTTCTCCTATTGACACTGAAGAAGGCTTTTAGCGTAGATGAGCAGGAATCCTATTGAACTCGAACAGGAGGCCTTCTCAACGGCAACAAGAAGCATTCCCACTGGCACCCAATAACACACCAATGGGGGCGAATCTTATATTTGGCACCAAATTGGGGATCCGATTGGAATCCCGTAGTTGGCGGCTTCCCGATGGGAATCAAGTCGGAATCCTATACGAATCCAAGAGGAGCCTTACTGGATTCCAACATGGGGATTTGTTATTGGCATCCAGTAGGAATCCGATTGGAAACCTATAAGGGGCCTTCATACTGGAATCGATAAGGGCCTATTGGGAACTAGCTGGTCTCTCTCACTCTCTCGCCCTGTCTCTCTGTTCCCCTCTCTGTGTGTCTGCGCGCGTGTATTTGCATATCCCTATGTCTGTTTGTGTGTATATATGTATATGCATATCAACATATATACCAGCAACACGCGCGCTTCGTGCGCGCTTAGGGTCTAGCGGGCCCCCCAGGCCTTGACGAGTTCAGTGCTCCACTGGAGGAGTGGACCACAGATGGTTAGAACGGGAAGTGCAGAAGCGCCCCATAACGGTGAACGCTTTATGGGCAATGAGAGGCCCATGCCTGTCAATCCGCATTCCGGAAGACTTTCGGGGAAGATCGGTGCGTCGGGGGGCGGAGGCCGGATGAACCGGTTTCCCAGAAGGCCGGTTGGGAACATGGTTTTCGGGGGCGTGTTGGGGAGTTTGTTTGGGCGCGCCGTCGTCGTCTTCTTCGTCCTCGTCTTCGTCGTTTTGTCGGCGTCGTCGGATGGGTCTTTCCCAGAACCCATTCAACGCAGGTATCCACTCCTGATCAAAGATCTCGTAATATTTCGGAATATATATATATATATATATATATATATATATTATATATATATTAGTGCTTCGTAAGATCTCGCATGATCTCGTAATATCAGTTCTTCTATATATATATATATATATGTATATATGTACATATAAGAGCGTGTTCTACCGCTGCTGGCGGAAAACCGGGGGGGGTCACTACCGGTTCGGACCCTCCCCCCCCCCCCCCCGGAAACCCCGAAAACCGGGGGGGTCACTACCGGTTCGAACCCCTCCCCCCCCCCCCCCAGCTCATCATGAAAAGGGGGGGGGGTCACTACCGGTTCGAACCCCCCCCCCCCCTCGAAAACCGAGTGGGGGTGCGGACAGTGGTGGGGACGGTGTTGGTGGGGACAGTGGTGAGGGGACAGCGGGACAGTGGTGGGGACAGCGGGGGGACAGTGGGACAGTGGTGGGGACGGTAGTGGTGGGGACAGTGGTGGGGACAATGGTGGGAACAGGGGGGACAGTGGACAGTGGTGGGAACGGTGGTGGTGGGGACAGTGGTGTGGGGACAGTGGGAATGAGGTGGAAACACTGGGACAGTGGAGGGTACAATGGTGGTGGAGACACTGGTAAAGGCGGTGGCGAGGACGGCGGTGGGACAATGGGACAGAGGTACAGTGGGGACAGTGGGGACAGTGGGGACAGTGGTGGAAACAGTGGGACAGCTCAGTGGGACAGCGGAGGAGTCAGTGGGACAGTGGGGACAATGGGGATAGGCAGTGGTTGGGTCCGTGGAGACAGTGGGGAGAGTGGAACCGTGGTGGGAACAGTTGTGGGAACAGTGGGGACAGTGCGACAGTGGTGGGGGCATTGGTGGGGACAATAGGGACGGTGGTGGAACCAGTGGGGACAGTGGTGGTGAGGACAGTGGTGCTGGGAACAACAGTGGGGGATGTGATGCGAGCGGTGGTAGGGACCGGGAGTCGTTTGCTGGCGGTGCGTGGGGGGGGGTCGAACCGGTAGTGACCCCCCTCCGGTTTTCGAGGGGGGGGGGGGGGGGTCCAACCGTAGTGCCCCCTCGGATTTCCTGGGATCCGGAGGGGGGGGGGGGGGGGGTTCGAACCGGTAGTGACCCCCCCGGCTTTCGAGGGGGAGGGGGTGGGAGGGGGGGGGAGGGGTTAGGGGAGGGGGGGGTTTTGCCGGGAGGGAGGGGGGGGGGGGAGGGTTCCGGCAGGGGGGGGATTTTCGGAGGGGGGGGGGGGAGACCCCCAGGTTCCGGAGGAAAAGGTTGGCAATTTTCCACAGTGAAGCGGCGGTGGATCACGCTCTCTCAGGATTTCGTAAGATCTCGGAAGAGTTCGGGATATTTCTGAAGATCTCGGGACAGGTCTGAAGATATTTCAAGATCAGATCACGACATCCTAAGGTATATCGGGGACTCTTAAGATCTCTAGGGCCATCTTAAGACGTTTCAAGATTTCATATGTTATCATATTGTATTCTAATACGTCTAATATATACCCAGACCATGTAAGATCGCTCCGTCTGCCTTAAGACACGTTAATACGACGTAAGATCTCTCAAACGGATCTTCTACTATCTCTTAAAGACTCACGTGGTCTTCCAAGACCTCTCAAGATCTCCTAAGATCTCTTATGCTATCTTGAGGTCGATCGAGGTATCTCTTAAGATCTCTAATCAGATCTCGGACGATCGTGTAAGGTCTCGTGCGTTTCCTTAAGATCTCGCAAGATGTCTGAAGCGGCTGGGATTGGGACCACTTATGGTTACAATCCATCCTTTCCGAACGGTTGGGGTTGGGACAAGTCGGTTGGGATCCGATACATTTCCCCCACCCCCACCCCTTTACCCACGTTAAGGGGGCGAATCACAAAAACAATATCAAAGCTTGCGTTCCCAGAAGCCCTCTGGCTTTCGAGAAACCCACCCCGTACCTCAGAGCCGTCCCGACGCCGCCCCCTTCGGAGCGGCGCTCGAAGCGACCCTCCTGGCGATCCCGACAATCCTGAAAATGCTTTTGGCCCGACTGCACTGAAAAGTTGCCCGTCGACGGAGTGACCTTTGGTGCGTGCCCGCTGGGGTTCCCCCCCGGTCGCTGAAAGCGATGCGATAACAGCGCTTTGCGCGTTTGCTCGGGTTTGAGCCCCCCCGCATCCCCCTAAATTGGGATGCAATTTTTGCGAGGTCAATTCTGATTTTGCCATGGTCCGAAACCCGGCTTAATCCCGCTTAAACCGGCTTGATCCCGCTTAATTTGGTTGAATCCCGCTTAATCCGAGGCCCATTTTGGCGCAACAGCCCCCCGTTGGGGCGCAATGCACCTTAATCCTTCCGACGAAGACCTCCCAGGGGCTTGCGCGCGCGCCCGGGTCTGAGCACCCCAGCAAACCCTCGTCAAGCCGCGCACCAGAGTCCACTGCAGCCCAGGCTCACTCTTGTCGGCGGCAAGCCCTCGACAGGGTGAGCACTCAAAAATAATCCAAACATGGTCTGGGGAGGATTTTTCGAATATTGCTTTACCATGTTTGAATACTAGTTGCCATTTTGTTTCGCCCCAAATCCACCTGTAGGGGGACATGCCCGACCTGAAGCGGTCCAGCGCAGGTGCAAGAAATCCGCGCGGAGCTCCAAAGTTTGTGTTTGTGGCGTTTTGTCCAGCTTCTATAGACTCATCGATTCGATTCTGGGCTCTCTTGCCGTGGAGTGGAGGGGGGCCCTCACCGCGGCGAGCGGCCCGGCCAGTGATCTCCGTGACGCCGGACCTGGTCGTCAAGGCGCCCGCGCGCGACGCGTGGTCGCCCCGATGGTCAGAGCCCCGAGCCCAGACCTCCAGTGTCTCGAGAAATTCGGGACGGAGGCTTTCTGCAGTTTTCGGCCTCCGGGGGCCCTCGCCAGGTCCCAGGACCATAAAAATACTACTCAGGATGAAAGAACGGCCCTAGGGAAAGAGTCGGAACATCCGAGAAACCGCATTGAGCAGTTCTAGTCATCGGACGTTTGGGGATCATCAAGTGTTGGGCTCAGGTCCTTTCGTGGTTGTTTCTCCATCCGTTCTTGCGCACCCATGCTCGTCTGGTGCCCAGTGAGGGGCTCTATTCCAGACATTAGCGTTCCTCATCGTAGCAGCTTGACTGTACAAGGGGGGTCCATGCCAAGAAGCACCCTGCTTGCCTCCAGGTTGCCCTGGGTTTATCGGGTGTCGAGGGCTTTGTTTCTGACAGGCGTGACGTGCCCCCACCAACAAAAACATCGATGGACGTCCTGGTGCCTCAGGGTTGGGTTTCTTGTGGAAGTTGTCCTGTGGTCGAGCCTCTGCTGCTGCGCAGCAGCAGGGGGAGGAGGAGGGCCCCCCCCTTCCCGCTCCGTCACCTCCTCGCCCTCCCCTGCTTGCCCTGCGGCCCCGTGGAGAGGAGGAGCAGGAGCAAGAGGACGAGGAGTAAGAGGACGAGGACGGGGCTAGGGGCGGTCACCAGCACGAGGACGAGGACGAAGACAAGGAGCAAGACGACGAGGAGCAAGGGGAACAAGAGGGAGAGGACGAGGTTGTTTCGATGCTCGTTTGGGGGACCTTCCTGTGGACACCTGGCGGATCTGTTCGACTCCAGTCCGGCTCGAGTTCGATCCAAACTCGACTCAGGTTTGATTCAGGGTCCACTCAGGTCAGACTCAGGTTCGGCTCGAGTCGACGGACGTTCGACGCAGCCTCGACGCACGAGTGGAGCGAGCGGCTCCAAGAAGGTCCCCAGAATGAGCTTCTAAGGGCTTGGCATCGCTCGGACGTGTGCGTTTTTTCCTCGGCGAGGACCATCGAGGAGCATCCTTGATCATTTGGCGAAACAACCAAAGAAACATAGGGAATGGACGTCCGAGCGATGGCCAGAGGGTGTTCAACCACTCCCGACTCATCGGGGCTGGTGTCGGTCGGGGGTAGCTCCTGGTTCGTGCGTCGGGGGCCCAGACGGGAGATGCCCCGGACCGCAGTTATCCTGCATAGCTACAGTCGGGGCGTTGACTAAGGAACCCTTTTCGTTGGGGAGGGGCTCGATGTCCCTTGATTGTTTCACAGTTTGCCTCGGCTTTTCCTGAGGTTTTCCATGGGAAATCGAGGTTGAGCTTGTGGGAAAAAGGGGCCTCGTTCCTTATTTGGGGTTCCTTAGGTCAACGCCTCGACTGTAACTAATTCGGGTGTTCAACTACCCCCAAATCATCGAGGCTGGGGGTGGTCAGGGGTAGCTCCTGGTTCGTTCGTCGGGGGCCCAGACTGGAGCTGTCCCTGACGGCAGTTACCCCGCATACCTCGGGCTTTCAACCACTCCCGAATCATCGAGGCCGGGGGTGGTCAGGGGGAGCTCCTGCTTCGCGCGTCGGGGCTCAAGCCAGAGTCTGCACGAACGAGAGGGGCACGGAAAGAATGGGTACAATGCTCAACAGCAGTTCCTGCTCATTTTGAACAGGACTCGCTGCCCGCGCCGCCGCGGCCTGTGTCCATTCGAGGCAGAAGACCGCCTGCCCAACAGCGGCCGCTGTTGGTTTGGGACAACATCTGTTGTTGGGCATTGTGCCCACTCTTTCCGTACCCATCTCAGGCGTCCAAGTAGAGTTCTGACGGACCGGAGTCGTCTCCGGTAGTCCGGCGTTCAAGACGGGCTGGAGCAGGGGGCCGAGACACGCTCGCGTCGTAGGATGACATGCCAGTTCTCCTCGGGACGTGCGCCAGCCCAACGTGTGTTTGCCCCGTTCCGCTCCGCCGGTCGCACGCCGGCGCTGGCGCTCACCACGCCCCCCGCGTCGCATGCAAGGGCCTCGGTGGACGAGCGCACGCTGGCGCTAACACATGATGGGTGTGTTTTCCACCACCACCACCACCATAGGTTGGAGGGGGAGGGGGTCCTCCTCCTCCTCCTGCTCCTCCTCTTCGTCTTCCTCCTCCTCCTCCTCCTCGTCCTCCTCCTCCCCCCCCTCTGACTTATGGTGGTGGTGGTGGTGGAAAACATGCCCATCAAACACACGGTCAGAGAATCCTCGGAGCAAGAACGACGGGAGCGGTTTGGCCATTTTCGGCCTCCGGGGACCGTTGCCGCAGGCCTAGAGATTGACACCCACACCAATTTCGGAGGTGTGCCTCCACCGAGGGAAGAAGATCCCGATCTCGGCGATGGTGGTGATATTCGGGTTTCCAAGGTGGCCGAACTATTACCACCAGCTCCGAAAATTTAGGATCATCTTCCCCCTGTGGAGGCACCCCCCCGTCTTGGTGTTGGTGCCCATTTCCAGGCCTCCGACGTTACCAGGCCCTTGGATGATGTACAAGAGCTACGGGGTGAAAAACACGCCTTGGAGACAGCGTATGGAACAAACTGGGACTCCGCATGTGTGTGTGTGTGTGTGTGTGCGTGCGTGCGTGCGTGCGTGCGTGCGTGCGTGCGTGCGTGCGTGCGTGCGTGCGTGTGTGTGTGTGTGTGTGTGTGTGTGTGTGTGTGTGTGTGTGTGTGTGTGTGTGTGTGTGTGTGTGTGTGTGTGTGTGTGTGTGTGTGTGTTGGGGGGGGGTTAGAAGTGGCCCTGGTCCAAGGTGGCCCCAGCTGTCCCAGGGAGGCGCGAGGACGGCTTCCAGAGCACCCCTCACGCGGGCCAGAGGGCCCCGAAGGGCCCCACTAACTTATGCTGGGAGCACCTGGGACCAGGACCACATCGTGGAACACCTAGAGGGGTCGGAGGAAAGCGCCAGCATCGCCGATGCCTTTGCGATGTGGCTCGATCTGGACTGGCGCCCTACTTCTCTCCACCCCGACGTCGCTGGCGCATCGCCGATGCGGCGCGATTTTTTTTTTGTTCGTGCCCCCCTCACCCCCAGGAGCGCGAAGAGGATCGCGCTCCGCGCCTCGCGGCTTGGGTCTGCGAGGCGCTCTTCTTGGGGGTGCGAGGGCACGGTGGCAGCTGCCGTCAGCTCTTCTGCTCCCCCCAGCTGTCGCGGCCCTTGCATGGGGGTCGACGGTCTCCTCCTCCTCCTCCTCCTCCTCCTCCTCCTCCTCCTCCTCCTCCTCCTCCTATTCCTATCCTTATTCCTTATTAGAATATACTCCTACTCCCCCCTCAGGCCGGCAGATAGGGGCCGCATCCGGGTGGTCCCATCCTAACGTGTAAAAAACCATACAAAATCAACATGATTCTTATTTTTTCCTCTCGACATGGACGTCCTGTCGTCCACGGCGATAATCCATCGCAAAAAATACCACAAAGAGCACACGCGCGCGTTCATGTCAGAATCCTACCGAACACCGTGTGTTTGCAAGCATTTCAACATAAAAACATCAAAAACCCAATGTTTTTTTTCACAAAACATTGTACAAATTTCCCGCCCGGGCTCTCTTGCTGAAATCATAGGAAAACCATAGGAATCTTAAGAATTCTGTCAAATCCAGCGATTTCACGTCATCGCGCGGTGCACTCGCGATGCTCTGTCATGCACCCAGGCCGCGAATCCTGTGCAAAAAATACCACAAAGAGCACACTCGCGCGTTCATGTCAGAATCCTACCGAACACCGTGTGTTTGCAAGCATTTCAACATAAAACATCAAAAACCCAATGCTTTTTCACAAAAATGCTTTGGGGTGTCCTGTCAGACCGTCGGGCTTCCTCCGGCCACCTCTGGCTTCCTGCGGTGTACCGGGCCATTCTCGACTCGTCTGGCAATGCGTGCGCGGCATTCAACACGCGCTCGCCAGTTCCCGTCGGCAACCGCCATCGCGGCCGCATCAGCTGTACCAAACCGGCTGGCCGGTGTGACTTCGGCCCCCAGTTGTGCCAGCTTTGCTTCTTATGTTGTGGGAGGGCGGGTGGGACTGGGCATGCCATGCTTGACTCGCTCGAGCTGGCTAGCTTGACTCCTACACCTACTCCTACTTCTCCTCCTCCTCCTCCTCCTCCTCCTCCTCCTCCTCCTCCTCCTCCTCCTTGGGGGGCGACGGCATGGCCGGCCGGTGCCCAACGCAGCGTGCGGGCCCCCGGCAGCCCCCTTTCCAGGCGGAGAGGAAGGGGGGGGCACGCGGCGACCGGGGAGGCGCGCAGCCGACGTCCAGGGGAAGTGCAGGCATGGATGGATCCCGCAGTGGCGAGGCGCCCCCGGTTGGCATAGATTCGGCACGAACGAAATGGGCACGGAAAGAGTGCAATGCCCAACAGCAGTTCCTGTGCATGTTGAACAGGACTCGCTGCCGGTGTCGCCGCGGCTGTGTATATTTGAAACAGAAGGCCGCCTGCACAACAGCGGCCGTTGTTGGATTGGAAACCGTTTGTTGCTGGGCATTGCCAATTTGTCCGTCCCTCGACTTCTTCGGCGTGGGAGCGCCACGCTTCCTCCGCAGGGAGAAAACCGTCGAAGGCCAGGAAGCCCCGGGGCGCCCTGGAGGCCAGCAGGCCGCTTCATGGCGCGGGCCCCCACTGGGCGTCCGGGGCCCTCGGGGGCCCCCGCGCGCCCAGCCCCGCCGCCCCCCCCAAGGCTGGGCCCTGGGGCCGCCGGCTCCCCTGGGGGGGCGGCCGTGAGCCAGGCGCTGGGCCGTGTCTTCTCTCGGGCGGGGCCTCGCTCGGGCGCGGGCCTTTTTTTTTTCTCCTCGGCCGGGGCCGTCGAGGGGGGCCTCGGCTCCTCTCGCGAGGAGGAGGAGGCACGCCCGGCGCCGAGGAGGGCCCGGGGGACGGGAGCCCGAGCCGTGGCGGCGAGGGGGGGGGCAGGCCTCCGCGGGAGGCGGCGGGGCTGCGGAGAGGGGCGGGGGCCCTGCGAGCCTGCTTGGGTGTCGAGGAGGCCCGCCCCCTCGCTGGCATCGCTCGGGAGTGTGCGCTCTCGTCGCGGCGACTGCCCTCGAGGAGCCTTTTGGGGGCCATCCTGCGAGAGATGCGCGCCTGACGCCGGAACGTGCACGGGGAACGGGCGTTCCAGCGGTGGGGAAGCCGGGCACTTGACCCCTCGGGCGCGCCGCCGACCTCACCCCGCTTCTCCCCCCGCGCGGCGAGGAGAGGACCCCCGAGGACGAATTCCTCATCCTCGGATGCGACGGCATCTGGGAGGTCCCGGGCCTCGGGCCGCCTCCCAGGAGAGGGCACAGGTGGGAGGGGGGAGTGGCAGGCGGGGGGGGAGAGGGTAGAGGGCGGAGGAGGCGAGCGAGGAGGGGGGGACGAGGAGGAGAGCGAGGAGTGGGGGGGGAGGGAGGGCGGAGGAGGTGAGCGACGGGTGGGGGGCGAGGAGTGGGCTGCTGAGGGGCTGCTGCTGCCGGGTGTGCTGCTCTGGAGGTGCGTCCCGCGACGGGGCGGCCTGTCGGAGCGCATGCCGCCCCCCTTTCAGGCTCCCCCCCTCGCATCCCCTCTGCCCGCGCCGCCTCCATCGTGCCGTCCCTTCATCAGTCGTCGTGCGGCTCGTGAGTATTATTTGTGTGCGCGCCGTTGTGCACTTTTGGGGAAGAAGCAAGCACTGGCATAAACACAAAAACTCGGAGCTCCGCGCGGGTTTCTCGGCGAGCCAGGGGCGGCGCCGGAGGCGCCGCTAGGGGGCCCCAGCGCCGATCCGAGAGATCCGCGCGGACCTCCGAGTTTTTTATGTTTATGTCATTGTTCGTTCTCACAGTACTGGTCTAAACTGTCGTGCTGGGCAGCTTCGCCCACGGAAGCAGCTGCATTCATACATGCAACACCGTGGAGTCTCGTCGATGCAGCGGGCCTTCCGTGAAGTACAGTGGAGGCCCATGCCAAGACACACCCTGCTTGTCTACAGGGTGCCCTGGGTTTCTTGGGTTTCGATGGTTTTGTCATGGAAAGCGTGGCGTTCCAAACATCGATGGACGTCCTGGGGTATCAGGGCTGGGTTTCTTGTGGAAGGTTTTATGGTCGAGCTCCTACTGTACCTTCCCAGCCCTCGTCGGCTCGTCGGCTGGAAACCCTTCCTAGCTGTGAGGACGCGCGCGGGGTCACGCAGAGGAGAGGGCGCCACGCAGCGTGACCAGCATGGGGGGGGGGAATGCGTCGACCCCGGATCGCCCACGGATTGCTGAGGGGGGCCTGCTAAGGGCCAGCCTCGACCAGGAACCTCTGCGGTTTCCTCTTCCCTCCTCCTCCTCCTCCTACTCCTCCTCCTCCTCCTCCTCCTCCTCCTCCTCCTCCTCCTCCTCCCCTTTTCCTCTACTCTACTCCTACTCCCCCCTACCCCTCCTACCCTCCTCCCCTTCCTCCTCCTCCTGCCCCCTCCTCCCTCCTATCCCTCTCCCCCTCCCCTCCTCCTCCTCCTCCTCCTCCTCCTCCTCCTCCTCCTTCCTCCTCCCTCCTCCTGCCCTCTTCCTCCTCCTCCTCCTTCTCCTCCTCCTCCTCCGCCCCCTCCTCCCCCATCCTCCTCCTCCTTCTCCTCCCCCTCCTCCCCCTCCTCCCCCTCCTCCTCCTCTTCCTACCCCTCCCCTTCCTCCTCCTCCTTCTCCTCCTCCTTCACCTCATCCTCCCACCGGAGGCCGATTGCCGATCCATGGGCGAGGCATCGCCGAGAAAGAGCTCGATGCTCCCGCCTGTGCCGGTCCCCCTTTTTTCTGCCCGCCGTTGGGCCCAGCTCTTTGTCTCCCTCACCTGGCGAACCTCCCCACCAACCAAACCACCCCAACCCAACCCGAAGGCCTCAAGTTGCGCTTGCGCTCCATTTCCAGTGGGGGAGGTCGAGGAACATCGAGCATTGAAGAATAACATGGAACCCGCACGCCCCCCCCCAAACCCGAGATTCGGGTCAAATTCGGGTCTTCGGGCTGGGTTGGGGTGGTCTGGCAGGTCGTCAAAACCATTGCTCACCCTTTGGTGTCGCCGCGCTCGCGGCTGCCGATTTGACTACACGAGTGCCTCTGTTGGATGTTCGTGCGCTCTGGGCGTCCACCTCCGCGCCTGCGCCTCCCTCCGCGCCTCCTCTCTCCTGCTCCTCTCGCTCCTCGTCTTGGCCTGCCCTGCCTTGCCTCGAGGCTGCGGATGCGGCCGACTGAGAGTACTGCTCACGTACCTTTGTGGACACAGGGCGTCTCCTTCGTGGCTGGGCGCCTATTTGCTCCTGGCATAGATGGCTCGTTTGCTTGTGCTCCTTGGCCCGCCCTTCTCGTGTGATGCCACGTCCCCGGCTTTGAGCGCAATCGACATGCACGTGCGATTTTGCGATCACGGTGCACATCGCCAGAGGAGAAATCCGTAGTGTGTGTGTGTGTGTGCGTGTCTGTGTTCGTGTGCGTGCGTGCGTGCGTGTGTGTGTGTGTGTGTGATTGTGTGTGTACGTGTGTGTGCGTGTGCGCGCGTGTGCGCGTGCGCGCGTGCGCGCGTGCGTGCGTGCGTGCGTGCGCGCGCGTGTGTGTGTGTGTGTGTGTGTGCGATGGTGCGTGCGTGCGCGAGTGAGTGCGTGCGTGCGTGCGTGCGTGTTTGTGTGTGTGAGTGTGTGTACGTGTGTGTGCGTGTGTGTGTGCGTGTACGCGTGCGCGCGTGCGCGAGTGCGCGTGTGCGCGCGTGCGTGCGCGTGTGTGTGTGTGTGTGTGTGTGTGAGTGAGTGAGTGTGAGACTGAGTGAGTGAGTGTGTGTGTGAGTGTGTGTATGTGTGCAGGTGTGCGCGTGCGCGTTCGCGTGGGCGTGCGCGCGCACGTGCGCGTACGGTTTGCCGCGCTGCGTGTGTTCGTGCGTGCGTGTATGCGTTTGTGCGTGTGTCCGGGTGTGTTCGTGTGTGTGCGCGTGCGTGTGTGCGTGTGTGCATGTGTGCGTGTGTGCGGGTGTGCGTCTAAGCGTGTGTGCGTGCGAGCGTGTGCAAGTGCGTGTGCGCGCGTGTGTGCGGTTGTGCGTGTGTGCGCGTGCGCGTGCGCGTGCGCGTGCGCGCGTGCGCGCGTGCGCGCGTGCGCGCGTGCGTGCGTGCGTGTCTGCGTGTCTGCGTGTGTGCGTGTGTGCGTGTGTGCGCGTGTGCGCGTGTTGTGTGCGTGTGTGCGTGTGTGTGCGTGTGTGCGTGTGTGTGTGTGCGTTTGTGCGTATGTGAGTATGTGCGTGTGTGTGTGCGTGTGTGTGTATGTGCGGGTGTGCGCGCGTGCGCGCGTGCGCGTGTGCGTGTGCGCATGTGTGCGTGTGTGGGCGTGTGTGTGTGTGTGTGTGTGCTTGTGCGCTCGTGCGCGTGTTCGCATGCGCGTGTGCCCGGGTGTGCACTTAAGCGTGTGTGCGTGTGTGTGTGTGTGTATGTGCGCGTGTGTGCGTGCGTGTTTGTGTGAGTGTGTGCGTGTGGGCGGGTGTGCGTGTGTGCGTGTGTGCGCGTGTGCGCGTGAGTGTGTGCGCGTGTGCGTGTACAGGTGCATGTGTTCGTGTGTGCGCGTGTGCGCGTGTGCGTGAGAGCGTTTGCGCGTGTGTGCCTGTTTGTGTGTGGTTGTGCGTGTGTGTGTGTGTGCGTGTGTGTGTGAGTGTGTGTGTGTGTGCGCGTGCGTGCGTGCGTGCGTGTGTGTGTGTGTGTGCGTATGTTGTGTGTGACCCACACCCACACACCCACACACCCACACGCACCCGCACACGCACACGCACTCGCACACGCACCCGCACACGCACACGCACACGCACACGCACACGCACACGCACACGCACACACACACACACACATCACACACACACACACATCACACAATACACACACACACAACACACACACACACACACACACACACACACAACACACTCAACACACACACAACACACACAGCACACACGCGCGCGCGGCAGCAGGCGCGAGGAGGAGAAGGCTGGCGACGTCCGTGCCAGAGGTCTGCCCCCACGTGGTGTCGGAAGGGGCAGGGGGCCGCGAAGCGGTCGAAGCGGCTCCTCGCGGGGGCTGACGTCGACCATGCATGGCTTGCCCCCGCAGGGTGACTGGACCGCGACGCCATGGGCGGGACACGGTTGCCCGTGACCTGGCGGCGAGGTCCTTGACATTGCGAAGGGTGTGGCGGCGTCGGGGGGAGGAGGGGCAGTCCGCGCACGACCCCCCGACGAGGTCTTGGGGTTGCGGCCGGGCGGCGCAGGAAGAGGCTCGGACCACGCCGTGGCGCCTGGGACCAACGAGATCATCGAGAAGAACGAGGAGACGCTGGTGGCCGACGCGCAGAAAGGACGACGCACGCGTCCGACGCAGGACGGTGACGGCCTGGGTGGTGGGACTTCGGCGACGAGAACGGCGGCCCCATGGACAATTGCCCTTGCTTCGAGTTTGTGGCTCGACCTCGGCTGTCTTGCGACGGCTGAGACGGCGAGCAGGACGGAACCCGCTGCGACCCTTTGCGCTGCCCTGTTGGAGGCTGGCCAAGAGAGAGGTGAAGGATTCCTGCTCGTCGAATCGGCTGGAGGGCCCAAGGTTTTTTCTCGCCAGCTTCAGCGACGAGCACGACCGGGACCGCCACCCATGGTGGGTCAGACGTTAGTGGCACCTGTATAATTGCCCCGCAAATTAAGAAAGAACGTGAACCACAAGACCCAGCAGCCAGCGTAGCTGTGGCGGCTGGTCAGCGGGTCGCAGACGGTACCGGCTTGCAGGCGACTCGCGCCGCAGGTACCCTTTGGTCATCACCGCGCGGCGACCCCGAGGGGGCCTTCACAGGATGGGGTGGCCGATGCCCCCCTCGTGCAGCGGGGGGGGGGCCTGATCGCTGCCGAAGAGCAGCGCCAGGTGCCTTTGATGCCCAAGCGTGCCAGGGCCGTGCAACCTCCAGTGGAGGCGAAGGCTGATGACGGGCGATCGATCAGAGGAGGAACTTGTAATTACCCATGCTTCTACCCCTTCGCCCGTTTTCCCGTTTGGCGGCCTCCCGGGAGTCTTTCGTCGCCACTGCTGGATTCGTCTCGAAATCTTGGTCAGAACGCACCCAGGGAGAGGGGAGAGCTACGGGGAGTAACGGTATCGGTATTTTCTAGTTTCCCCATTCGAGGTCGAACAGCGAGACGGAGGCCAGGGCGGCCAGAGCCATCCATGGCGGCGCCCGCTAGCGGCGCGAGGGCCAGCCATCGTGCTGACCGTTGCGGCTGCGGTGGCTGCCCGCGCTGACGGAGAGCACGGTGAGCAGGCGGCAAACGGGTTTCCCCGGCGTGCGGCAGCCGAGAGTTGCGCTCCGGGCGGTGGCTGCGCGGGCGGCCCCCCGCCGGACCCGTTGCGAAACCGAATGCGGCGGCAGCTCTGCAGCGTGCCCGAGGCCAGGCTGCCGTGGCAGGGCGGACGGCGGCGCCCAGGCCGCGCGGCGAGCTGCCGCACGAGGAGGCTCCCGGCAGTTACCACGGACGCGAGCGTGCTGCCAAGGCGCCGCGGCTGGCGAGCGGAAGCAGCGGCCACGGGGCGGCTGCCAGCGCGGCGGAGCCGAGGAGCCTGGCCCCGCCAAGGAGTGCAACATGGAGGACGGCGGTGAGCAGGACTGCTGCGCAGGCGGCCGTCGGTGAGGCACCTGCGCGGACAGCCTCGCCCGCCGAGGGCGTGGCGGCGGAGGAGGGGAGTGCAGCGCCCGAGGGCATGGTGCCTCCCTGCGTGCCTCCTCCCGAGGTGTCTGCTGCTGCCGTCGTGCGGGGCGGGCGGAGGGGCGGGGGGCGGGCTCGACGAGGCGTCGGCCGACGCAGATCTGGGGGTCGCGCGCCTACCGATGTCGTCCTCGAGCGCGGCCACCAGTTGGTCACGAAACGTGGGTCTGTGATGGGTTGATTCTGCGGGGCCTGCGTGTCGAGTGGGGCCAAGCGGCTCCAGGCCGATTCCCTTGGGGCGTTGCCGCCGGCCTCTGAGTGCATGGGGAGGCCCCGTAGTGATCGTCTTCTGCTGCAGGGGCGGCGCCCTACCACAGCTGCACACCTGGGCGCCGCTCTTGGAGGTCCGTAGGGAGTCCCCCTTTGGGTCCCTGTGGCCCTTGGCGTTGGGTGTCCGCGCGGCCCTGCGGGCCTGCGGGGGTGTGGCCTAGGTCGTGGCGCCAGTGTGTTCACTTGTGCCTGGACGTAGGGTCTGGCGGGCCCGGAGGCTGGCTGTTTCCTTCAGACGAGTCTCGCCTGGCCTCTGTTTTCGCATGCGTCTGGCCGTCGTGACACACACACACACACACACGCACGCTTCTTTGGGCGATAGCGACCTCGCGCGCGGCGACGAGGCGGAGGAAGGCCCCAAGCGAAGGAGCGCGCGCGGACGACCACTCAGATGAAGGGCAGGGCCCCCCCCCACCCACGCGCCCACAAACACACATACACACGCACGCACGCACGCATGCACGCACACACGCAAACACGCACACACACAAGCGCGCACACACACACACACACACACACACACACACACACACACACACACACACACACACACGCACGCACCACGCGCGCGCACGCGCGCACGCACGCACGCACGCACGCACGCACACACGCACGCACGCACGCACCGCACGCACGCACGCACGCACACACACACACACACACACACCAACGCACACACACACACACACACACACCACACACACGCACACACACACACGCACGCACGCACGCACGCACACAACACACACACAACACACGCACACACACACACACACACACACGCACGCACCCACGCACGCACGCACGCACGCACGCACGCACGCACGCACGCACGCGCACGTACACGCACACACACGCACACGCACCACACACACACACACAACACACACACACACACACACACACGCACACGCACACACACGCACGCACGCACGCACACGCACGCACGCAACACGCACGCACGCACGCACGCACGCACGCACGCACGCACGCACGCACGCACTCACGCACGCACGCACATACACACACGCACACACACACACACCACAAACACACGCATTTGTACGCACGCACGCACGCACGCACGCACGCACGCACGCACGCACACACACACACACACACACACACACACACGCTTCCGCGGTGGTGGCCTCGCGCTCAGCGACGAGGCGCAGAAGGCTTCTGCAATGCGCTTAGCAGCCTGGCCTTCACTCGTCTTTAAGGATGCCGGCCTACCGACATCAGCATCATTTATGATGCGGTCGTCGCCCCCCCCGCACATACACACACACACACACGCACACGCACAAGCTCATGCACACACACATATATATATATATATATATATATATATACTACACACATACTTACACCACACATACACACAGCATCCACACACACACACACACTCGCGCGCCTCCCACACCCTACACACACAGACGCCCGACGGCGGCGGAGGTCAAGGACAACCCCGAGGCATGCGCCTTTGTGCGGCCGCGAATGGCCGGGGGCAAGGACCCGCGCAAGGGGGGGGTCGGGGGGCGGGGGCGGCAGCGGCAGTTTTCTAAAAAAATACAACATAAAAACAAATACAAAAGACCAGTGGTCAGGGGCAACGTCGAGGCGGAAGAGGCTCAGGCGGGATGCACCGGTTCGAGTCCCAGCCGCTTGCTGGTCGTCGGCAGGGGCCCGTGGCCCGTGGCCCAGCCCGCCAGTAAGCGCGTGGTTTCGCCTTCGGGAGCCTGTCGCCGATCTGTCGGCGGTGCATCGCCGATCCCGGGTCAATGTGACCCATAGCAGGCCAGCCACAACTGGGGGAGCTGTGGTCCTTACCCCCCTTGGGGACCCATCGATTTCGACACCTCTCTCGAGAGATCGTCGAGGCGATGGGTTCCCCCAGGGGGGTAAGGACCACAGCTCCCTCAGTTATGGCTGGTCGGCATAGTCTGTGGCCGATGCATCTGGTCTATCGCGATGTGCTCACGAGGGCCAGACCCACTCCTAGCCCCCTCTCTCTCTCTCTGAGAGGGGGGGGGAGAACAGGGTAAGGATCGAGGGCTTCGAGGATCGAGGTCCTTCGCTCCGTCCTCATGCTCGTCCTCCCATCTCCGCCTCCGGAGGAGGGGGAGGGAGCAAGTGGGGGGCGCTTCCTTAGGAGGAGGGTCGGGGGTGGACATAACCCCCAACAGTGACGCGTCGATTAGTGAATTGTTCGTTTTCGGTTCTCGAGAGGGCGCCGTGGCCGTTATTTTCCAGGCTTCGCCCGCCAGGTTTGGGCCTCAGGTCGTTTTCACTAAACCACGTTTTGCTAAAGGGGGTTCTGTCCATCCCCGAGAGGGGTAGATAAATGAGGACGTTGAGGAGGAGCAGGGCGAAGGTACCAGCAATGAGGAGCGCAATAGGTTGGACCAGGGCCAGCAGAAGCCAGGTTCCAGCCAAGGATCGGGGCGAACGGACGGTGAGAATTGTGAAAGGAGGGGGAGCGAAATCTGCTGCATGCAGATGGTTCTGGCCCCAGCGCTGGTCGCGTTCGTTGATAGATCGGCGCTTCAGCGCTGGGAGACGCCAGGAAATTGCCCTGCATGCAGCTAATTCTCGAACCCCCTTTGACATCCGCCCCGCATTTCATCCGCCCAACAGGGCAAGGACCGGCGGGCGGGGGCGAGGCCAGCAGATGGGTCCAGGCCAGACAATGACCGCCATCAGGTTGCCTCTGCTGCCAGAGGATGCTTGTACACCTCGAGCTGAGAAGTGAGAACGCCCAAAGGGTACAAACCCGCAAGGGGTCTTAACGATTTTCGCCTGCAGGGGGCCCTCTCTAGAGCCATCGTGAAGCCCTTGGCCCTTGGGGTCCTCCTACGGCTTCGGCGGGGCCTCTTGGAGGCCTGCTGGCGTTCCCAGGGCCCAGGGTGTCATCCTGGGACGGAGGGCTCGGACTGTCAGTTCGTGCTTCCCTTCTTGGGGCTCCCTTGGGGCCATCTTCGGCCGTCTTGGAGGCCTCTTGGGCCGCCTTGGGGCCCTCTTGGGCTGTCTGGAGCCCCTCTTGAAGGCCTTTTGGGGCGATCTTTGGGGCCTCTTGTGCTGTCTAGTAGCGTCGGGAAGCCCTAAACGGCGAGAACGCTAAAAGCTTTGCAAAAGCGTATGAAAAGGTAGCTTGGACCGCTCCAGGGCCCTCTTCGGCCATCTGAGGCGATTCTTGAGACATCCTCGAGTGGTCGAGAGGTCGTCTTGGTCCGGATGATCTCACGCGACATGCCCCAGGAATTCCCAGCAATTCTTAGGACATTTTGCCCTCAAGAGCCTTATATAATCTTGTGCTCCCAGGACTGCGTGAGCCCTGCGGCATTCCCACAGTGCTGAAGGCACGGTGGCGGATATGGAGGTCTAGGTCCGCTTGAATTGTGAAAGCCCACAGAGGTCTCTGTACGCCTCTGAAGGCATCTGAGGCTCCAACACTAAGTCGGTCATGCCCCTCTACAGGAGGAATGTTCATACAATATTAGAGATGATATGGGGATGCTGTTTTTATTCATTTTCACTGGTTGAATACTTGTTGGACTAGTTTACATGTTTCTTCCATTGTCCACCTGTAGGAGAGGACATGCCCGACCTAACTCCAACAGCGTCCTGAGACCTCCCCGACCGTCGCTCTCCTCGAGGATGTCGCCATGAAGGGAGGGACACGCGCCCCAGAGCCCGAGCCTTCCCCGGGCCCAGCTCTTCTTCCTCCTCATCCTCCTCCTCCTCCTCCTCCTGAGAGCTTTCCCCCAGGAGCAGCTCTTCATCCTGACGCGCTCTTGACGGCCCTGGGGCCCGTGGAGGGCCCAAAGGAGAAACGAAAGTCCAGGGCTCTTTTTTCGGCCGGTGTGGTGTCTCTCTGACTCGCCAGCCTCCGCGGACGACTTGTGTGCACCGCACCACGTTGGTTCCTCCCGAGGCGCCGTCGATCCTCAACCCAAGACTGGCACGGTGCATAGCTTTTGTCGGCCCTCAGAGGCGAAAAACTGTGCACTGTGCCGCGGCGGAGATGCGCCGGACGGGAGGCCAGACTTTGGTGGTTCCAAGGTTTTTGGAAACGACAGGGTTTTTTGGGGGTAATTGTTTGGTTTGCCGTTTGTTTCCCCCAGTTCTGGCGCCGATGTTGGTCCAGTTCCGTCGCCGTTTACCGTTTTCCCGTTGAGGCTTTGGTTTCCATCCCAGAGCCGTTGTGTTCCGCTTCGGCGAATCGTTTTGCTTCACGCTTCTATTACTCCGGAGCAAGACTCTTAGGAGCGGTTCAAAACAGCCTTGCCGTTTCCGAGAACCACTTGAGGCCCAGACATGGCACGGTGCATTCGGAGGTTGACAGATTTCCTACCCTGCCACGTCGAGTAAGGAATTGACCGAATTCGGTTCGCGAGGGGGCGTCGCGGCCGTCGCTTTTGCGGGTCCGGGTCCGTCGGTTTCGGCCCCAGGCCGTTTTCACTACGGGGAGGTTTACTAAAGGGAGGTTTGTCCACCGCCGATGCATGGGCGATGCTCTCTTGCCGTTGGTTTTCGCTTTCTCGCCGCGCCCGTGCGCCGCGCGGCAGCCGGCTCCCAGCCCGCTCGCCAGGCTCGCCCCGCCCTCCAGGAATGGTGGCGCCTACCCGAGGCGCGCGCCAGCGCCAACGGAAGACGCTCGAAGCGAAGCATCGGTCGGCGAGGGAGGCTTGGGAACAACGTCCATTGGACAGCAAGCCGCGGAAGGTTCCACTCGTGTTGGATCGGGTACAGAGTTCATTGTTTTCGGATTCTCCCGACACCTTGCTTGGGTTCGTTTGGATGTCGTGGGAGGGCCTCCTGGGGTGTGGGCCGGTCTTGTGCCTTTTTGGGGCTGTTCTTGTGCATTTTGGGGCCTGTTGGGGGCCTCTTGGGGGCCTCTTGGGGCCTCTTGGGGCCTCTTGGCGCCTCTTTTGGGGCCTCCTTGGGGCTTCCCAGGGCGTGAGACTCGGATTTTCGGTTCGTGTTCTCCCTCTTGGGTCCTTTTTCCGGCTGTCTTTGAGCCTTTGGGGGCTGTCTTGTGCGCCTCCGGGGCAGCATTGTAGCCCTTTTGGGAAGTCTTGGGGCTTCCTTGGGGGCCTCTTGGGCGGTCTTGGGGGCTTCTAGGGCCGTCTTGGAGGAGTGTCGAAAGCTCGAAAAGTCGAGGGGCTCAAAAACATTGACAAACCGTTGGAATATCCATGATTTTGGCCTCTCGGGGCCCTCTTGAGGGAAATCTTGGCGGCCTCTTGTGCCGTCTAGGGTGCGTTTTTGGCCGACTGGAGGCCATCTCGGGCGTCTTGGACCACATGTTCCGCGATTCGGGGCCCTCCAGGACCATCCTCAGAGGCTCTTGGGACCTCTTTGCCCGTCGTGGGGCCCCTGTCGACCCGGAAAAGTCATGCGGGAGGATGCGACGGGCCTGCGGGCGCGCGCGGCAAGCCCAAGGAGATTTGGCAAGTTGGAGTCTGGGCCCCGAAAAGAATCCTCAGGATTGAAGATTGAAGCTCCAGGAGACCGAACACGGGACCCGAGAACTCTCCAAGTCGTGCCTCGAGGGTACGGTGGCGGATACCTCTGTGTACATTTCTCCATATATATATATATACACACGCGTAAATAATTATGTGTACACGTTTCTAACTACATAAAGATATCTATAAGCATACAAGCGTGAAAACATCCATATTCGTGTATGAGTATATATATATATGTATTAGCCCACACCCCCCTCCAGCACTCCGTGTTGAATGGCCGTGATTGCTTCTTTCCTTACTCTTGCATTGAACATCCTCCCTCATCACGCTCATCCTTTCCAGGCTTATCCTCCTACTACTCCTCCTAAGCTACCCCCTTTCAATAATCCATGATGAGTGTAATAATGAGTACGATTACGAGTACGAGTACGACTCTGATAATGATGATGACGACGATGATGCTGCTGCTGATGATGATGATACCGATGATGATCATGGTAGTGGTCACGGTGATGATGGTGATGACGGTGATGACGGTGATGATGATGATAGTAATGATTATGCTGATTATGATGATGATGGTGGCGGTGATTGTGATGATGATGATGATGATGATGATGATAATGGTGATGATGATGATGACCACGACGATGACGACGACGACGACGACGACGGTGACGACGACAACGACGACGGCGACGACGTCGGCCGTGGTGCCGCAGATGCTGCAGCAGGCGCAGCTCCTGCAGGTGCAAATTGAACAGGGCGTCGACTACTTGGCGCTCTTGAAGACGATGAGACATGGTAAAGCAAACACACGCTTCTATCCGAATAATAAATCGGAATGCATTTTTGGAGGTGTCCTCTACTTCCGTGAAGGCAATAACGCTCCTGAGCCCTGTTCCACCCATCCCTTCCTCGCCCCCATTCTCCTCCTCCCCCCCGTAGACCACGGGCAGGTTAGAGCACCTGGGTCGGCCTGCACAAGGTCGGCGCAGGCGCGCATTGTGCCCCTTCGCACCGCGTGCGCCTGAGGACGCGAGCGGTTCCTGCAGAACCAGTTGATGCTTGCGCTTGCAAGCGGCGGGTCCTCCATGGTCGGCGGCTTTGATACCGCCAGATCTCGCCATGGGATGTCCTCTGGGTGTCGTCAGCGATTCGATCGATTCACGTTCCTTCGTCGACCTGGGCTCTTCGAGGAAAATGGCTGGCGATGCGACGATGAGCGTTTGCTAGGTATCCGCGGACGTCGTGGGACGTATCTGGGACTTCTGCAAGACGTCTGCGGGCACGTCGTTCGCGCCGTGCCCGATCATTGACCCCGCGGACAATGACGCGGCGCTCAGGGGTACTAGCTTATAAAAGCCGTTAGTAGTATTTGCTGACGTTTGTTGCTGACACGAGCGACAATCACCCATTTCTCTTAGTCTGTCCGCGCCCGCAGGTGCTGCCGCATGATCTAGGTCATTGGCTCCGCGGCACCCTGGTCCACGGTCTCGACTTCAACCCGAACGTATCCGTCGAGCGCGACGTGGTGCGCTTGGAGTTCAAGACCGCGGCGTCGCTGGCGTCGCGGAGGTTCGCTACCAACCAACTCGCCGCCCCGCTCAAACCCATGCGCTCGCAATCCGAGAGGGAATGCGGGACTGCTTGTGCGGGGAGGGCGGTTTGGTTGGTAGTCGCAGGTTCATCGGCGAGCGGGCCGCGTCGCTGCGCGAGGAGGTGGGGGAGGTCAGCCAGAAGAACGAGCTGCTCAAGGAATGGCTCGCGAGGATGCCACTGGATGCGCTACGCCCCCCGCGCCAGGCCGATGCGCCTCGGCGTTGGGGCTGACCGCTTGGCGTTCTGATATATCTCTGTCTCCCTCTCTCTCTCTCTCTCTCTATCTCTCTCTTTTTTTTTCTCTCTCTTTCTCTCTCTCTCTCTCTCTCGCCAGATCGTTCCCTCTCTTTGCTCTCTCTCTCTCTCTCTCTCTCTCTCTCTCTCTCTCTCTCTCTCTCTCTCTCTCTCTCTCTCTCTCTCTCTCTCTCTCTCTCTCTCTCTCTCTCTCTCTCTCTCTCTCTCTCTCCTCTCTCTTTGTTTTTTTTTTTTTCCTCTCTCACTCTCCTCTCCTCTCTCTCTCCCTCTCTCTCTCTCGCCATATCGTTCCCTCTCTCTGCTCCTCTCTCTCTCTCTCTCTCTTTTTTTTTTCTCTCTTCTCTCTCTCTCTCTCTCCTCTCTCTCTCTCTCTCTCTCTCTCTCTCTCTCTCTCCTCTCTCTCTCCTCTCTCGTCTCTCTCTCTCTCTCTCTCTCTCTCTCTCTCTCTCCTCTCTCTCTTTTGTTTTCTCTCTCTCTCTCTCTCCTTTTTTTTTGTTTTTTTGTTTGTTGTTTCTCTCTCTCTCTCTCTCTCATCTCTCTCTCTCTCTCCTCTCTCCTTTTTTTTTTTGTTTCTCTCTCTCTCTCTCTCGCCTCTCTCTCTTTCTCTCTCTCTCTCCTTTTTTTTGTTTTTTGTTTTTGTTGTTTTTGTTTTTTTTTGTTCTCTCTCTCTCTCTCTCGCTCTCTCTCTCCTCTCTCACTCTCTCTCTCTCTCTCATCTCTTTCTCTCTCTTCTCTCTCTCTCTCTCTCTCTCTCTCTTTCTCTCTCTTCTCTCTCTCTCTCCCTTCTCTCTCTCTCTGCTCTCTCTCTTCTCTTCATCTCTCCTCTCGTTCTCTCTCTTCTCTCTCTCTCTCCTCTCTCTCTCCCTTCCTTCTCTCTTCTCTCTCTCTCTCCTTCTCTCTCTCTCTCTCTCTCCTTCTCTCTCTCTCTCTCTCTCTCTCTCTCCTTCTCTCTCTCTCTCTCTCTCTCTCTCTTCTCTCTCTCCTTCTCTCTCTCTCCAGCTCTCTCTCTCCTTCTCTCTCTCTCTCTCTCTCTTTTCCCTGCCACGTCGCGTTCCCATTGAATTATTTCACCGACGGAGCAGCCGAGCGCATGCCGAGCTAGAAGAAAGCTCGAGCGAAAGTCGGCCCATCGGGCAGTCGCGCGCCGACAGCGCGCGTCGCATTTGTGGGCGGGAACGTGGCACAGGCTAGTGGTTGCGCGTCGCCGTGTATCTGATTTGCGCTTCTGCCAGATACTAAATCCACTCTTTCCGCTCATCTGTACCTACCAGCAACATGTCTACTTGCGACCATCACTGGCGTCTCAATCGCGCGCCCGCGCATCTCGCAAACTGCTGCGCCATCGCGCGCTGCCAGTGTCCATTGCTAGTTCGGCTCCGCCCAATCAAGTGCGCCATCGCGCATGGTCTGCGCCGTCTTGCGCTCGCTGCCCGCCCCCAATCGCCCCCCTCAGTGCCGTCCTGTCATCGGTCGGTGCCTCGATCCTTTCGCGCGCTCCGTGCCGGCTCCGACCCCGCTCAAAGTCCGATGGCGCAAGGGGGCGACGCCGTGCCATATATCATCTCGGTGTCTAGATCATTTGCCCACGCTGTCGCCGCACATCCCTGCCTCCGTCATCCCCCTCCCCCCCTCCGCTCACCCCCATCCCCCCCCCTCCCCCGCCGCCTTCTCATTGGTTGCCAGGTCGTCGTTGTAACCCAATCGAGAGCGACTGGAATGCCGCTGCAATTCAACTGGGCCCCCCCGAAGCATTGCGTATTTTTTGGCGCTGAGCAACAGTTATCGTAGTTGCTCTCCGCCAGTATCTGTTCAGCGCGCGGGCTCTCGGTCGGCCGCTCCGCTTCGTAGACCCAGCGGCCGAGCATCGTGTTAGCGAGTGGCGCGCCACTACGCGTCGGCTCTCGGCGCTGCGCCCCGCTCTGCGCCCGCGGGGCCGCGGCCCGACGCCGCCGCCATGGGGGGGGGCTTCCCGCCGCATGAGCGCGGGAAAGCCCGCGCGGCAACCAGGAAGCGCGCCGTGAAGACCACCGCGGCCAACGCCATGCAGCACATCTGTGGGAAGAGGATTCGCCGCCCCGCGAATGTTCCACATGTCCGCCACGGGGTGCCGACCGCTGCATCCCGCAACGATAGGGCAAATTGGCGCCGTTCACTCAGTGACCTGCTGAACCGCCCCGCGAGAACCGTCGTCGGCCATTTGAAGCCAGACGGCATCCTGCCGGAATGGAGCGGCGAGACGTGCCCGCACTGCCACGTCGGGACGCCTGGCCCGCTCAAGAAGTAGCTGCCGAAGAACGGAGATTGGGCTCATCGGCGCGGCCATGACGCGCGCCGTCGGCACGTGGCCCCCCACGCGTTCCACCCGATCTTCGCGGTGGGGACAGGTCAGTCTCACGTGAGGTTGACGGACCAGGCGGCCATCCTTTTCGTTGCTGTGTCTGGATGCAGCCAAAACCAGGCCAGGAAGCTGCTGAAGCACAACCACAAAACTACGCAGCGGATATATAGTTCACTGCGCGCCGCCCGCGCCAAGAACGTTTCCATCTATGAGAAGGAGATCAAATTCGGCAAGCCGGTGAACTGGGCGGACGTCGAGGCGGACGAGGTCGACCTCGCGAAGACCGAAGTCCCGAATGCTGGCCCGCACGCGGAAAAGCCAATCCAGTGGGACCAGCGGGGCGGCATCGCGCAGCGCGGCGCGCCCAAGTCGTTGGTCCTGTTCAAGCCCAAGCCAGAGCGCGCGAAGCGGAGGGCGCCAGGGCCAGGTCCAATCCGCAAGCGCGATTGGGCGCCGCTGGCAGAGAAGTGGCTCAAGAACCGCGCGGTGGTCCTGCGCGCGGACGGCGCGAAGTCCTACCGCATGAAGGTCGACGGCGCGAAGCGCGATTGGGTTGTGCACGTGAAGAAGAAGATTCGCGTGAGAGGCAACCGCGGTTTTAAAAGACGGCGCGAGCACCAAACCATCACTTTGTGTATGAAAAAAATGTTTGGTGTCTGCGTCGGCTCTTCAAGCTCGCAGGCAAATGGGTCTGGCTGAAACCCGCCTACGTGAAGACGCGGCATCGCAATGTGCCTGACGAGGACGACCCGAAGAAGACAAAGAAGCTCTGGATGCGTAGCGGGACGCAGATCATCGACGGCATCTGGGGGCGCCTGCGCACCTTCATTGGCAAGCAGAAGCAGGCGGGCTCCAGAGCGCTGACGCGCAAGATTCGGTCTTCCAGTGGTGCCAGTGGCGCCGCGGTTGCGATCTGCGGTCAGAGACTGGGAACAGGTTGCAGGATGCTTTCTCCAGGGAGCACTGCGTCTGATCGGGCCCCGCGCGCTCTGACTCAGCCCGTTCGCTTTTGCTGTCCCAATCAACATTGCATTATGATCGCCCGTCGCTGTTTACACCGTCTGCAATGTGTTTTCAGCGCGCTGGAGGTTGCCGTTTCAGGGCCGAGCGCATGCTGAGCTAGGAGACAGCTTAAGCGAATGTAGGCACTAGCGGCAACACTCAGGAATGGAGTTCGCGAGTTCGACATCATTTCTGTTCGCGGATCAAAAAGGAGCTCACCACCTGTCTTTTCTGTCACATAGATCCAACATGGAGTTCAACAAGTTCCTATGGCACATATTACAATAGGATTATTTGTCCATCTGATAACACAATGATTTGGCATACAACACCAATTTTCCTTGTGAACACACACTGTTTTTGCTTCCAAGATCAAATTTCCATTTGAAAACACAATGCTTTTGTATTCGAAGCCAATTTCCTTTATGAAAACACATTTTTTTTTGCATCCAAAACCAATTTTCCCTATGAAGACAAAACGTTTTTGCATCCCAAATCAATTTTCCATGTGAAAACACAATGGTTTTGCATCCAAAACGAATTTTCCATGCGAGAACATTTTTTTGCAACCAAACTCAATTTTCTTTGTGAAAACAAAATGTTTTTTGCATCAAACAACAATCTTATTTGTGAAAACACAATGTTTGTTGCATCCAGAATCAGTTTTCTTTCTAGAAATGCAATGTCTTTTGCATTCAAAACCAGTTTTCCTTTTGAAAACACTATGTTTTTTAGATCAAAAACAAATTTTGCATGTGAAAACACAATGTTTTTGAGCTCGGACATCACGAAACCTTGGCAGGTTTTTTTTTTTTTTTTTTTTTTTTTTTTTTTTTTTTTTTTTTTTTTTTTTTTTTTTTTTTTTTTTTTTTTTTTTTTTTTTTTTTTTTTTTTTTTTTTTTTTTTTCTCTCTCTCTCTCTCTCTCTCTCTCTCTCTCTCTCTCTCTCTCTCTCTCTCTCTCTCTCTCTCTCTCTCTCTCTCTCTCCCTATTTTTGTTTATGGTGCCGCGAAACCCTGGCATGTTTTTTTTCTGCCGAGCGGAATTTGGCAAGTCAGTTTGAGCTGACAGCGGCCCCGAATTTTCGCAGGGGCCCCAAAAAGGCAAAAACAAACAAAACATACAACACCTGCCAGGATTTCGTGACATCATAAGCAAAAAAATTGTCAAGGTTTCGTTATAGCAGAGCTCACAAACATTGTGTTTTCACAGGCAAAGTTGGTTTTGGATGCAAAAACATGTTGTTTGCACAGGAAAAGCGTGATTTTGAATGCAAAAACATTGTGTTTTTTAAAAGAAAATTGATTCTGGATGCAAAAACATTGTGTTTTTCCATGTAAAATTGGTTTTGAATACCCAAGCATTGTGGTTTCACATGGAAAATTTGGTTTGGATGCAAAAACATTCTGTTTTCACAGGGACAATTTGTTTTGGATGCAAAAACCTATTGTTTTCATACGGGAAAGCTGCACCCTTGACCCCCTGAACCAAATTGGAATCCATTGGACCTGGGAACTGGTCAATCTCTTTGAAATTCTTATTTGAATCAAATCCAGTTGAAACCCGCCTCTTCCTCCTCCTCGCAAACAGTCTGAATCAAAGTCTGTTGGACCTTTTCAAGACGCATGCAAAACAGTTTTCTGTTTGGAAGAGGAGGTCGCATCAAAGTCTTTTGGACATGGGATCTGCTTCAGTCCGATTGAATATTTATTTGATTTGTATTAGAATTCAATTGAAATCCATTGTAACTTGGGTCTGGGTCATTTCTGTTTGAAACTCCTATTTGGGATCTAATTGAATCCGATTGAAATCCTCTGGATCTGGAGCCTGCTCCAGTCCGATTGAATGTTTGTTTGGTTCCTATGCAATTCTAATCAAAATCCTTTGGAACTGGGATCTGCTCCAGTCCGATTGAATCCTGACTTGATTCTTATTGAAACCCAATTGAAATCTATCGGAACTGGGGTTTGGGCCATTTTTTTGCGATTCCTATTTGAAATCTAATCGAATCCAATTGAAACACTCTGGATCTGGAGTCTGCTCCAGTCCGATTGAATTATTGTTTGGTTCCTATTCAATTCCAATTAAAATCCTCTGGATCTGGGATCTGCTCCAGTCCGATTGAATCCTTATTTGATTCTTATTGAAATCCAATTGAAATCCATGGGAACTGGCGTTTGGGCAATTTTTTGAAAGTCCCATTTGCAATCTAATCGAATCCAATCGAAATAATCCTCAGGATCTGGAGTCTGCTCCAGTCCGATTGAATTCTTGTTTGGTTCATATTCAATTCAAATCAAGATCCTCTGGAACTGGGGTCTGCTCCAATCCGCTTGAATCTTCATTTGATTCTCATTCAAATGTAATTGAAATCCCCTGGGTCTGGAAACTGCTCTGTATTATTGAATTCGTACAAGATTCAAAGTGTAACTCTTGGATACAGACATACAGGGATATATATGTATGAAGAACACAAGAAAAACTACGAGGACGGAATGCTGGGGGGGTGTCTCCATATATATGTATGTATGTATACATACATATGTATGTAAACATACATACACGTGTACATCTGTACGCACACTTATAGAAGGGTATCGGCGAATCGCGCCCAGAAGTGCCGAAAAGCGCCTAGCTCGCGCCCACCGGCAATCACTACCGCCCAGCGGCGCCCCCCGGCGCCGTACGAAGGGGAGATGCGCACCGTGCCAGCCTTGCGCGCGCCCGGGCCCTGTCGTGTCGTGGGGTGCCTCGGGGGCCACTACAGGCTTCCGTGCGCTGCCTTCGCACCGTCCAGGGCCCGCCTCCCTCACTCGGCGGCAGGCGAGGGGGGGACGCAGAAGGGGCCCAGAAGGGCTCGAGGGGACGCAGGCACGGAGAAAGGCACTCCCTCGGAAGGCGCGAGGGCTCCTGGGAAGTCCCGCCGCCTTCTGAGAAGGCCCTCGCCTTCTCACTCCCCGCCCCCCGCCCGCCGCCGACTGGCTCTCTTTCTCCCTCTCTCTCTTTCTCTCTCTCTCTTCTTTTCTCTCTCTCTCTCTCTCTCTCTCTCTCTCACACTCCCTATCCTCCTGTTCCTCCTCCTCCCTCCTCCTCCTCCTCTTTCTCCTCCTCTTCCTCCTCCTTCTCCCTCCTCCTCCTCCTCCTCCTCTTTCTCCTCTTCCTCCTCCTCCTCTTTCTCCTCTTCCTCCTCCTCCTCCTCCTCCTCCTCCTCCTCCTCCTCCCCGTTTCCTCCTCCTCCTCTTCCTCCAAACTTCTCCTCTTCCTCCTTCTCCTCCCCCCTCTTCCTCCGCCCTCCCCTCCTCCTCCTCCTCCTCCTCCTCACCCCCTCCTCCATCCTCCTCCTCCTCCTCCTCCTCCTCCTCCTCCTCCTCCTCCTCCGCCGCCTCCCTCCTCGGTGGGTCGGCGGCAACCGCCCCTCCCCCTCCCCCCCCGGGCGGGGCGAGAGGACCTCCCAGCCATCGCCTGCGAGCTGCTGGACGAGTGCCTCACCGCCGACCCGCAGAAGACGGCGTGCCCCGCCCGAGGAAAAGGAAGAGGACGAGGAGGAGAAATACGAAGAGAAAAAGGAGGAGGAGGAGAAGGAAAAGGGGAGGAGGAGGGAGAAGGAGGAGGAGGAGGAGGAAAGGGGGAGGAGGAGGGAGAATGAGGAGGAGGAGGAGGGGGAGGAGGCGGAAAGGGGGAGGAGGAGGAGGGAGAATTAGGAGGAGGAGGAGGAGGAGGAGGAGGAAAGGGGAGGAAGGAGGAGGAGGAGGAACGGGGGAGGAACGGGGGAGGAGGAGGAGGAGGAGGAGGAGGATTCGTAGCCATTTGAGCTCAAGCGGCATTTCCCTTTCTGTCAGCGAGGGCTCTTCACTTCCTCTTCATATCCCATGCCTCGTCGGGGCACTTCTGTTAGACATGGCGCGGCTGTGGCTTGGGCTCAGTCGGTGGGAGAGGCCGCCGATCTGATGACGGCCATCACAGAGCGAGCTGCTAGAACTGCCAAAGTTCCTGCTGCCGCTGCCCCGCCATCTCCTGTTGATCTTCCTCACTTGGACATCGAGGCCCAGGCAGTGATCGGCGCCGCAGCCGAGCTTGTGGCCGTCCTGGGAGGCAGCACGTTGGCAAAAGGTCTGGAGACGTTTCGCCAAGCTGGAACCCGTATGCCTTCTCACTTTGTTCGTGATTGCCGTATCCTAGATGGTGCCTCTGCGTTGCTCCAGCACCCAGGTGCAGCAGATGATGTACTGCGCCGCCTGAAGGATTGGTTTGTGTGCAATCGTGCTGCTGTGCATCCTGCTCCCGCATCGGAGCACGAGTCGGACAACAGTGGTTTTGTTTCGCTTGTCACGGACAGCGACCGCTACTACTTGGCACCCAATGAGAAAATCAATGAAAACACCGTGGACATGGAGATCGAGGAGCCCCTGGAGATGGGAGGTTCGGTCAGTGGGCCCACGATTTTCGATGTCACCGGCGACGTGGAGGACGAGTTCCGCTCTGAATGTCCTGGGGTCTCTTCGGGGACCTCGCGTAACTCCTCCGAGGACTCCTTCGACGCGGACGGGGAAGGGTACGGCTTTCCCGAGGCGCAAGAGCATCCCATGGGCGCCGGCAAGGGGAAGGCACAGGAGCTTGCCACCCCAATGTCTGCAGTGCCTTGTGCTCTTCAGGATGATGGTGCATCCACCTCCGCCCGCAGTCAGCAGTCGGTGAGGAAGCCCTTCTTCGTGGACCAGCTTGCTCATTCTATCGTGAAGAGGAGTTTGCCCTTAGAATACAAACACTTCAACGTGGAAGCGGTCGGGCGGGACCTGATCATCGCCTACCTGGAGTCGCGCGACGCCAGCCACGCGAGGATATTCTACGGTCTGGAGGTGAGCCTGCTCAAGGCGGCGAGGCGGCACCTCCGTCTCAGCCAGGCTCCCGAGCTTTTGCCGCGAGGCTGAGCGACAGCGCCGCTTTACCCGCCACACCGTAAACAGCGAAGCGAAGAGGGTCGTTTCGAGTATTAGGTGTTTCTGCTAGAGTCCTTCGAGCCTCTCTAGCTGTCGAGGGTCTCTTGTCCTCCTCCTCCGTCCTCCTCCCACCGCCAGCACCAGGAGCAGCGCGGTGCGGCCACAGCCCGCGCTGTTCGAATGGGGGTGGGAAGAGCGGAGCGCCGGGGGAGGCCAGCGTGAACGAGGTATCGCCCAGGGAGGCGCGCCTTGTCTGGACGGGTGCCAGGCGGCTCTCCGAGCGCCAGGGCAGAGCAGGCTCGCCCAGGCCGGGGATATCGGACGCATATATTTTCTTGTTCCCCTCTTTCCTTTTTCCTCTCGGCCATCCTTCTTTTCCTGCGTGCGTTCCTAGTCCCCCTTGCATATGTTTTTTTGTTTCATCCTTGTGCCCCCTTGCAGATTCTTGTTCATCCTTGTGGATCGCATGAGATTTGAACTCACCAGTCCGTCACTGCATCAGAGGAGGAGAAAGAGGAGGATAAGGAGGAGGAGGAGGAGGGGGAAAAGGGGGGGAGGAGGAGGAGGGCGGAGTAGGAGCAGGAGGAGGAGGAGGAGGAGAAGGAGGAGGAGGAGGAGGAGAGGCGTCTGGCCCAGGAGAAGGCCTGACCCCAGGTGTGCCGCCAGACAGGCTGGCCACGCTCCATACTGTACATCATTACGAAGGAGCCTGCGTGGCACAGGCGCAAGCGCGCCAAGCGCCACCAGGCGTGACTTCTCCTTTCTTTGTATAAGGCCCAAACCCTGTTTAGATCCCACCACAGCTCCCCCTCATTCAAGATGGTTGGAGCTCGCTCAGGAAACGGCAAGGTGGGCGGTTCTCAACAGCAGTGGAATTGCGGCTGCGGCCGCTACGTGAAAGCGCACCATGGGAGGTGCTTGTGCGGCAACCACTTCGACAACAGGGTTCGTCAGCCAAGCCGTCCTCGTGACCAGCGCCCTCCACGCGATGCTGGAGGCCCCCGTCAGCCTGGCCGCCCCCGCGCCGTCCAAAAAGGCATCAAGAGGGAAGAGCAGGAGATCAAGCAGTTCATCGGCCGAGTCGCCCCCATGAGCACCTCGGACGCCCAATGGCGCACGCGTGATTGCGGCTACGATGTGGCCCCCTTCCGACGCGCAGGCCATCAAAGAGTATAAGGAATGCGCGAAGTGGAGGCTCTATGACATCGCCCGTCTCGTCATCGTTGCGAGGAAGGCGGGCAAGGACGACGCTATGCTCATGAAAGAAGTTGCGTGCCTCAAGTACACGATGGGTGCCACTGTCCGTCTTGCAGACCACTTGGCTGAGCTCAAGCAGAAGCGCGATGCGTGCATCAATCGCATCAAGACCTTGACTACGAAGATGAAGGAGGTTGGAGACCAGAGGAGTGAATCAGAGCGTGATCTAGTGTTGTGGAAGAAGTCCATCGAGGAGCTAGAGGACCTGGAGGACTACCAGGTCGGCAGCGAGATGGACGAAGAGCCGCGTACCTACGCGGCAGGAGCGCACCCCGACACGGCGGAGAACATGTACGGCCCCCGGCAGATGCCAGGCCCGATACCCCCGCCGACGAGTGCATGGCCCAACGTGGACGCATGCATCGACAGATCGAAGGCGGCACACGCGGCGATACAGGCAGCAAGAGAAGCAGCGCCATTCCCGCCGCAGCCGCCCCCGCCGCCACCACAGACCATGCAGGAGGTAGACCAGATGGAGCGTTTGATCAGTTTCATGATCGAGAGGCAGCAGGCTACCGAGGCGCAGATGAACATCATCGTAGGCCACCTCCAGCCCAAGGCGCCGATGCCTCAGGCTGCTATGCCAGCATTGGTGGGGTTTCACGTGACGGGGATGATGCCCAGTGGAGGCATGCCACCGCCCCCGCACATGCCGCCACCACAGGAGCCCACGGGAGCAGCAGCGTCAGCATCAGCAGTCCCGTCGACTTCGGCAGCATCGCCAGGGCCACCGGCAGCGCCAGGGGCGCCAGTGGGAGGTACCAGCACACCAGCTGCGACCTGGAGCGATTCGCCCATCCCGACGGAGCAGCCCATGCATGCGAAGGCCGAGACGATCTACTCCAGCCCGCTCACGCCGACGGAGATGGCCGAGGATGGATATGCGACGCAAGCCAAGGAGGAGATTCCAGGCCCCCAAGATATGAGTGCACCTTTTTTGGGCCCTACCCAGCCAATAGCCCCTTCTCAGTCCCAGGAGGATCCCCTCATGCCCCCACCCGTGGGGATGGTGGACCCCGAGGGCCCGAAGGAGGAGGAGTTTCGGAGCCCTCCTCAGAAGGCGGCGAGGCGGGAAGGCGAGCTTTATGCCGTGTTTCGTTTGGGGACTGCACGATCAGGTCAATTCAACCCCTCCCCGTGGCGGGGCCACCGGAAGAGGCTACCCCCCCCCCATCTTCTGCAAACCTGAAGTCGTGCATGCGTGTCCCTGGGGTTAGAGATTTGAAGTTTCGCGATAATTCGACGCCTTCTTCTGAGTTCGGTGACGCCCAGCGCGCATTCTCGTCCCAGGGGGGCCGTAGTCGTTCAGTGGGGACCCATAGGAGTCGACACGCCCCCTGCGATAGTGAGGGTGGGATGGATAACGCTGAGGAGGAGGGGGAGCGACGTGCCACGCGTCTTGAGCTGGCTGGCCGTGCGAGCAACCCTTTTGCACCGCTGGCTGCATGCGAGGATGTGGCAGTACAGTTGCTGTCCCCCACCCAGGGCATTGAGGGGGGGGCATCCTCCTAATGCGACATCTGCTTGCGCAGACACACTCACGGCTGGAGCAGTGTCAGCCACCACCTCCGTTCCTTCCCCCTCAGACCTCTGGTGCCCGTTCGAGCGGAAACCAACTGTGCTGGAAATGCTATGCCGTGCTCCAGCTATGCCTCGGGTCCTGGACCTGCCTGGGGAGCTTCCTGCGGAGGCTTCGTGGGCCCTCAAAATGCGCCCTACTAGGGGGGCATCCTGGGAAGGGGGTTTCGTATTTCACCGACGGGTCCATCCATGATGGGGGCAACTCCGCGGGCGCCTGGGCTGCGGTCCGTGTGGGGGGCGATTCTGGCGGATGCGCTTTCCTGGGGGTCTGGGCAGCCGCTTTCCCGGGTAGCTTTCTTACGCCTGGAGCCCGCTCGGGTCTAACAAGGACGGATATACCGCGCGCGGGCGTCTCGTGGGCCCTCCTCGCTATCATCGCGAATGAGTGCCACGAGCCGTCCACCATCTTCACTGACTCGCTGGGCGTCGCCCAGAGCTTGCGCGGTCTGTCGGCAGTGGCTACAACCAACGTAATTGCCAGAATGACCCAGATATTGCATGATATCGCTTGCGCTCTTGCGGCTAAGCGGTGGCCCGCTCACCCCAACCCCCTCCTGGTCAGACACGTCAAAGGCCATGACGGCCAGCCTTGGAATACCTTGGCCGATAATTTGGCTGGGCCAGCGGGCAAAAACGATAGGGGCCCCCGTTCCCCCCCCCCCCCCGTTTGGGTTGAGGCCACCGAATTCAGTAGAGACCGCGAGTGGGAGTGGCTAACCTTGGCCAATACCAACACAGCGGGGTCCTATCCTGCGTTGGAGGCTGGGGGGTTGAGAGCTCCACAGATTGTTCACGATGCAGAAGGCCTAGGGCGCAGGCCTGAGCTTCGAGTGACCAAGATTACACGCGATCTGTCTTTCAAGGTTGCCAACTTTAACGTTAAGAGTGCGGCCAACGCGAAGAGGAGGGGCGCGAAGGGTAAATTGCGCTTCGCTCGGAACGTGGCCATCAAGGCCCAATTCGATAAAGAAGACATTGTGTTGGCCGGCATTCAAGAAGCTCGTAATCCGAAGGGGGTTTACATTTTGGGAGCATATCATGTAATATCGTCGGGAGCTTTGAACCACGAGTTCAGTTGCGAACTATGGATTAACAAGCGAGTCGCATATGGATCGGCCAAGGGCCAGCCTTTGTTCTTCACTACGCAACACTTTCGTGTCATCGCCGCCGACCCCCGCTGGCTCTTGGTGGCTGCCAATGCCCCTGGTCCCAAGATGAACGTCTTGGTGGGCCGCGCCCCTCACTCGGGCTGCACCCCTGCTGCTCGCGCGGCGTTCTGGAACTCCATTGGGGGCCTCGTGAGGGCCTGGGGGGTGGACCTCTTCTCTGTCGATGCTAACGGACGCCTGGGTAATATCACTTCTGAGTCGGTAGATTCCTGCGGCTGGGTCCAGGGCCAGGACGATGGGGGGGGTGCCCTGCGCGAATTTGCCCTTGAGCACCACGTGCCTGTACTCAACGCCTTCCATGGTGAGGGGGGCCGCTGGACGTCGGAATCTACCCACGGGCTCAGACACATAATTGACTACATCCAAAGATGTTCTTGGATGGCCAACCGCGCCCTCGCATCCGACGCGACGCAATGTTTGGATCGAGCAAATGATTTGACCGACCGCATTCCCATAACCATGCCATTCAGGTGGCAAGCTTCGCTCACTCGGCGCATTGCGTCACACAAGCGTTTGGGCTTTGAGGCCTCCAAGGGCCCCGAGAAAGTCCCGGTTTTTAAGCGGGGCCTCAAAGAGCTTCCCCAAGTGCCTTGGGAAACCCCGCCGTCTGACCACCACGCCGCCATCAATTCTGGCGTCGCCACGGCTGCTGTTGAGGCCTTTGGGGTTGCCCCGCGGAGAGCCCGGCAATCTTGCATTTCTGAGGCCACTCTGGATCTTATCATTTCTAGACGGGGCGCCCTTCGTGTCCTCAAGAAGTGCTCCAAAGTTCTGGGGGGCATCAGTGTCTCGTCCCTAGAGCACCTGCGAGGCCGTTGGATGATTGGAGATATGCAGGGGTTTGCGATGGCAGATGCCGGCTACGCATGGCGTCAGCCCTATATGCAATTAGCTAATGTTTTTGATGACTGGCCCATCGCAGAATGGGGCGCGACGGGATATACCTTTGTGTGTATAAGTTTCTGAGTGATACTGAGAT